CAAACCGTGCTTAGAGATCTTTAATGTATTCCTCAGGCGATGAAGTCCCATCCAGAGGGCGACCAAAGAGATCACAAGGCAGACGAAGGTCACAACCGAAGAACATCTGCTTGTGGTAGCCGGTAGTCTCGTAGACAGCATTGCGATAGGCCAGTAAAGAGAGAGGTAAATTCTTGTCACAGTCCCGTTGTTTCCTGGGAACCACCAACAAGAGGTTATTAAGGATGGTTTGATTAAACCCCTCTACCATGCCGTCTACCTAGGGATGTAAAGGTGTAGTTTGGGTTTTCTCAGTACCGAGTACCTTGAGTTCTGTAATTACAGCCGAGATAAAACTTCCTTCATCGGAATGTAACTGAAGAGGCACTCCGAATCTGGAAATTCAGTGCTGTATCATTACCTCTGCTACCGTGACAGCCTCTTAATCAGAAATAGGATAGTCTTTAGGACACTTAGTGAAGTAATTAATGTCTGCGAGGATGTATTGTTGCCATCCGCAGTTCGTGGCAGAGGTCCTAAGACGTCAAAGGCGATGAGTTCAAAACGCGCTCCTACATTATAAAGTTGTAGCTTCCCTCGGCTGCGTTTTGTCGGTCCTTTCCAACTCGCACAGGCGTCGCAAGATTGACACTATTCTTTCACGTCATCCCTTACATTACTCTAGTAGAAGCACTATCGAACTCTAGGTAACGTCTTCATTATTCCGAAGCGGTCTCCTGTTGGACTGCTGTGTAATTCTTTGAAGACGTCCTGCATCCGGGATCTTGGGAGTATCAACTGCCATCGGAAAGCCTTTCCATCATCAGATTAGAACTTGCGGTACAAGACGCCGTTTCGAATAAGGAGTGAGTCCCAAAAAGACCAGTATTATTTTGTTGTAGGACTATAACTCGAAATGTTCTGCCAAGTACGTTTCCTGTTTGAAGGTTTCATTAAACCAACTATGGGTTTAATGTCGCCGTCTCTCAACTGATCTTTACTGACTTCTTCGTCACTCCATGAGTCTCGATCAGCCGATGTTAATGTTGCAACTTGTCGAGCTACCGATTTAAGTAGCTCGTATTTCGCTTCGAGTATGAAACAATAACGGCAGCTTTCTGAGCAGATGCCTTTTAGACAGGGCGCCAGCGTTTCCATATGATGATTACTTCCCATGACGGATAGTGATGTCATATTCCTGGAGTCTCTGTATCCACCTGCCTAGTTGTCCTTCAGAATTCTTGAAATTTAAAAGCTAGGTCAACGATGCATGATCCGTGCGGATGAGGAATTTTCTGCCGTAAAGCAGTGGAAATGTTCTACTGCTTTAAGTATGGCAAGTAACTCTTTCCTGGTGACACAGTAATTCCTTCCCGGTTTAGATAGATATTTGCTCCAGTAGGCGACGACACGTTTTGAGCAGTTTATATTTTGGGATAAAACAGAACTGACACTCTCATTACTTGCATCCGTGTCGAGAGTAAACAGCTTGTCGAGCTGAGGATACGTCAAGATTGGAGCAGATGTTAAAGCCTCCTTCAGGCTATTAAATGCATCCTAACATTCTTTTGTCTACAAAAACTTTTGCTTGCTGTCTGTCAGCTTGTAAAGGGGTTTTGTGGTGAAGGGATGACATGTGTCACAGAGTACAATCAGTAGTTACACTTCAAACTACTATGAACGTAAACACAACGCAATGCAAAGCGCAACTAATGAGAAAGCTACCCGAAGATACTATCTCAGTACTCAACTCATTATGAGGTATCTAGTACTTTCTGCTTCTCGAAATTACTGGAAGGCAATACGACGGTCGAATTACGGTTACAACTAATATAGTGATGATTTACATTTATTCAATTACAATACCTATTACGGTGATACAGGGACCGGACAAAAATATTGGCAAATTGTCGCCAAGTTTGCCGACTTCGGTGATTTCTCGTAAAATTTGGCAACAAAAGTTGGTTGCCAAAACTGTTGGCAATATCTCGCCAAATTACCGAGATACCCATTTGCTCAATTTTAAACAAATTTGCCATTGTACTCATACTCTTCCGGCATAGCTTCTCTCTACAGATATTTCACGTTACAAAGAGAGAAATACGTTATACAGAGAAAAATACAACTGCACATACAATTGTACTGAAATCATCTATGTATGTGCAAAATTCGTAACAGTGTGTTTGTAAACATTAACGTTTGTGAAATATAACATGTAAGTTAAAAATTCAGATTATTTTGAAAATAATGAATGGCATAAAAAATAATCTGTGGAAAATTAAATAAAATATTACAAATTAGAAACGTTAAGTATTAAAAAAATTGTACCAAATAAATATATCATTATAAACATAAAATCTAAGAACTAAATTAAAAGTTCGTGGAAAAATTAGAAAGGATAAAAATATGAAAATAAAATTAAGTAGAATAATAAATAATTAAAAATTATCATGTAGTTTCATTTACATATGATGAATTGTCATTAGAGGGAAAACCTTTTCATATTTTTTCTCTCGTACATTGTTTTCAGAGACGCGAACTGAATGGCTTTAACGACAGACTTTAAAAAAGTCCTAAAATACTTAAGTCGCTTCGAACGTCCATCCAGAGCGCCATGAGCATTTTCCCGCAAAACCAAAATCCTCTTAATCCGTTGACAATTTTGCAAAAGTAAATTACAATCTGAAATTAATGACAACAGCAGGATGCGTACATTTCAACCAGCAGCCTTAAACAACTCATCTCCATTTGTGACGTCACTGGCTACGCCTTCTGGTGTAATGTCATGGATGACGTTACATGTTGCAGTTGTTTCTCACTGGCCACGCCCTCATCTCCTCCTGTCGTAGAGCCCCCGTTTTATTCTACTCCCCCTTCCAAAAATGCATACTTAGAACATACGTTAATGAACAAACAGTTTACTTTTAATATACACTCTTAGACGAAAAAAAAAAAAAAGCGACGCACCACGACGCACCGAGAAGATATAAAGCAAATTAGACACAAATTGATATGCATACAGGTTTCGACGGAAAATGCAAAATTTTACATTTCGGCTGCCAATGAATAAACGGTTGTGGCTACAGCGTATCTGATCTGCGCAACTAGCAGGATATTTAAGAGAAATTACGATTCCAGGTCATAAATTCTTCACGAATTTCATTCCGTGTATTCTGGTAGGCAGTAACTATGCCCTCGCATACCGGTGCGCGAACGATATGCGCAGATGTCAGAATTTGAGAGAATTTGTGTAATTGGGCTCAAAGAAGCCGGTTGGTCTTGTTAGCGAATAGCTCGACATTTGAGCAGGAGCGATGCCACTATTAAACGATGTTGGCAGGAATGGGTGAACCATGGCTGCACAGAGCATCAAGAAGGAAGCGGAAGGCCTAGAGATACGACATAACGTGAAGACCGAGCAATCGTCAGAGCGGCACTCACAGCCCCAGATGCATCATTATCATCGATTGTACGTGGAACTAGTGCTCCAATGACCGCAAGGACCATTCATAGGCGGCTTACAGAAAGGGGGCTAAGGTCACGGAGCCCCTTGCGCCGACTACCATTGACCTTTGTATAACGTCAAGCCCGTTTGCAGTGGTGTCAGGCTCATTCTCACTGGAATGTCACTGACTCGAGTAGAATAGCCTTCAGTGATGAGTCTCGCTTTAAACAGCCCACCAGCGGCCGAGCGGTAAAGTCGCTGAACACTGGTAGTTCGGTCCGAGGTTCGAATCCCGCGAACGGGCTGGCTGCATGGGCGTTTTCGTGGTTTTCCCCATGTGTAACGTGTATACGAGCCAGTTTCCCCTAGAAAGTCCTCCACGAAAGGCATCCCTCCCTTTAGGCAGATAGCCCTCGAGGCTTTGCCATAATCACATACACATACACACATACACATACACACACAATACTCGCTTTGAACTGAGCCCCGATGACCAGTGAAGGCTAGTCTGGAGACGCCCCGGATAGCGGTGTGATACCTACCTGACTGTCTTCCGGCAGACAGGCCGACAACCAGGAGTGATGGTCTGGGGTACCACTTTATTTCATAGTAGGACCTCTTTGGTTGTCATCCGTCGCAACTTTACAGTACAGCGGTACGTCGACGAAATTCTAAGGTCCGTTGTGTTGCCCTTCATGTCATGCACCCCTGGGCTTACATTTCAGCAAGATAACATGTTTCTACTGTTTGCCTTAGTGCTTGTCGAACATTACCTTGGCCAAAAAGGTCGCCGGATCTCTCCTCTATTGAGCACGTTTGAGCATTATGGGCAGGGCCCTCCAACCAACTCGGGATGGTGACGATCGAACGCTGCAGTTGGACAGAATTTGGCACGATATCCCTCAGGAGGACATGCGCAACCTCTATCAATCAATGCCAAACCGAATAACTGCTTTCATAAGGGCCAGAGGTGGACAAACACGTTACTGACTTTTTCACTTTGTGAATCTCTGACACTTCAATAAATCATCCAATTTTTCTCCAACTGTAATCTTTTGTTTTTCTGTACATGTACATCACTTTTGTACATGTACTACCGATTTTCGTCCCATTCGGATAACTCCTTCTTGGTGCGTCTTTTTTTTCCCCTAAAAGTGTATTAAAATAATATATTTTCAGTGTTATTACATAAATTCTAAATTGTAAATTTTATCTGAACTTTTATAACAGTGATGGAAGTTATTGTAATTTTGATATGGAAGTGTGAACACACACAAGAACATTAAAAATGTTGCCCTTGCCATACTGGATTGCCATCAACTTTCTTGACATCACTAGCCTCTCTGATACAGCCATTGAATCTAGGAGAAAATCTAAAGTTTCCATTTCTAAGAAATGTTTCCAATGAACACTTCTTTTGTAGTGTTATTTCTGAGGATTTAGATTTGCATAATAATTAAGTAGATTATTTTATCTTCTAATATAAAGGATTTTAAGAAATATTTGTCATTTTTAACTGAATTTGAAAGAAATATGCTAAAAATATCAACTCTTGTTTTCTTTATTTTAATGCTAGCCAAAAGTACGAGACTAAGTGGAGGTAAGTAAAATTTCTGAACAAAATCGCTCAAATATCTACTCAGATAGAACAAAATTTAATTTATGACTCTTATTCTCAAATGAAATGTTTAACTGTTCTAACTCTGTAAGGTTTTCCTTTCTTCTTACCGCGTGCGTTCATAGCATAATTAGAAAGTACTTCCGACTAGTAATCGAAAGGTCCGGAATTCGGGTCCTGGCAAGGGCTGCACATTTTACATGGTTCCTGTTTCAACTAAGGTAATGACTTTACAAGTGGCAGCCGAACTAAAAGGTGGAGGATGATAATTCGTCACCGCCAGTATTAGGCGACTGGGTCCGTCCCCATTCGCTCTTTAAACCGAAGAGGCTGTGAGGTTTTCCTCCTTCCTTACCGCCTGCTTTCGTGGCGTAACTGGAAAGCACGTTGGCTATCAAAAGGTCCAGAAGTCGAGTACGGGCGAGGACACTACTTATTTTTCATGTTTCCTGCTTCAGCAAACCACAGCCGACTCCATCATGGCCTTGAAGCGAAATCAGTTTCGGAAGGTCACGTGATCGAAATAATCGATCTCTTTCTCTTCACTGTAATCGCGAAGTTTAACTTTTCCGAAAATAATAGTTTTCTCTTAAAATAAGCATAAGTAAAATTAATGAACGTGAGTTGGTAGCATGATTTATATTAAATTTTTCATAGTGCAGTATTTTCACAGGCGGTAAAAATGTATATCTTCAATAATTTAAAAACAATTATACTGTGTTTATGTAACTAAAAATATCATTGAGATTTACCACATTCAATTTTTATTTCTGTAATTTTAATGAAAATGGAATCAATTTATGTAATCTGAATCAAATTTATTCCAAAATAATATAAAATCCACATAAGGGGGAAAATTCAATATATTTATGGATGTAAATTTTATTTATATTTTCTTAATAGTAAAATAAATATTAAGAGCAGAATATTTTGTAAAACTCCATGCCACTATCATGGCATCAACTGTATAAATTTTCAGAAAACCTAATATCCATATAGTAATCTCTCTTTACTCTCTTCACTAATAAAAACTGGATAGCTCAATTTTGTCAAAACGTGCCAATTCCTTAAATTCTAGAAAATTTGAGTATAAAGATAAACTTACATGCATTTTGTGCTATAAATAACTCTTTCAATAAAATTTCAAAGAATTAAATGCTAATTACATTCATAGAAAGGACAGCCTTCTATTTGTGCCAGCTCCAATTTTATATTCTATCACTTTTTCCAAACCATCCAAGAGGTAAGTGATTAGGCTCATTTTTTTAAAGTGGTTTCCTCAAACTACAAGCCTATTCCACTATTAAAAATAGATTAGAGATATTATCCAAGTTTTATCTTGGAGTCGTGCCATATACACACACGTGCTACTTATTATATATAATCCATGCAAAAACACAGCATAAATAAAAATAAAAAATTGTAACTTATTAACTGAAATTAATTGGCAATTTTTTTAACTTTTTATATGAATATTTTTACGTTAATTTGTCATTTTTATATTTTGTATAATGATTTAAAATTTTTCACAAGTTATCAAACAGCTAAGTCATTCCACAAGTGCAAGTAGCTGTTAAATTGAAATTCGACCTAATTGTATGCAAGATAACTTATATAAAATACCCAATTGCTTTCTGACATAAGAAATGTATCTTCCATGTTTTTAAGAACTTCACCAATAAGAAATATAAAACGGAAGATGTTAATAAAGCAACTTCAGATGGTAAAAGTAGTCTCCCCCTATCTAATTCTTTAAGAAAACCAAAATTTCATCTGCTATATCTACTGAATAACTGTTTTGCCAGACTGAATTCAGACTGTGAGTTACTTCCACGGTTTGTTAATGGGAGTTAAGGAATGGGAAGTATTAAAATGGTGTTTACAGAAGTCTGTGAGTGTTAATTATGTGTCACAAGTTACTTCAAACGCCATTTAAAATGATATGTTGCCAAATTGTGTGCTCGTAACTCGAGAGGGAGTTTTTTATCTTTTTTAATCGTTCTTGAGATTCTACTGTATGTCTCTTTATAACTAATTTGTATTTCCTTCCTTTATTAGTAAAATGAAATATTACTTCAATACGACATCTAAATATATTTTGCTAAATTTCAATTTGCTATTTTGCTAAATATTTTCAATCTTTGCTCAAATTGTATCCCAATATTAGCAAACAAAGCAATAGACCATTGAAAATTATTCATTTAAATGAAATATTCACTTTTATTGAATTTTGCCCATTTGCGGACAAGAGTATGGCATAAACATCCTATTCAATGCTTTTGCTGTAACCTTACTGAAATAATGGTATTTATATGAACAGCAAGAACTGTGCATTTAACGTAGCAGAGAGGGAAGTTATATAAGCTTCTGTATAAAAACTGTGAATTTATAAATTGAATTTCATTCATCCATTATGTATAAGGCATTAGATTTCTCCCATTAAAAGCAATTTACTCTGCAAATATACAGTATGTTTATACCGCAACGACACAAGGTAACTGTACTCCCTCTTTTCGCATTGAAACTATATTTCAACTAGTAATATTAATGACAAAATTCAAATTGAAAAGAAAAAAAGTACTTTTTATTTCACAGACATTTTTATAGAAACTAAATGTTGCTAATGAAGTATGCTTCATTAAAAGAATTTACCTTAATTAAATTGAGTTGAAAAAAAAGGTATTTATTTTAATAATTATGCTCAGGCGTCTTTAATTTCTATTGCTATTTAAATTCACTACAACAGAAAAATAGAAATAGTAACCAATGAAGCGAAATAATTTCGATCATTGGAGGAGGGACAGACTAAAAGTCCTACGTTGATATTAATTCTACGGTTAAATACCAAAAATGTGTTTATCATCTGTAGAACTGCTAAACTCTAATCAATGTCAGAAAGCAAATCAAAATTTCGGAAGATAAACCCAACACATAAGAAAGGATAGCCATCAATGATTGAAAGTAAAGCTCCAGAAAGATAAAAGAATTATATGAATATTGCAATTTTGTGGGATTCTTGACTATTTATTGGCGAAGTTTTCATCATTTTTGAAATAATATTTGAAGAAAACGCAAAATTATGAGCTGTGCACGCTAAACTGAGGCATCAAAATCGTGGGAAGAATTCTTTGTGAAATTATTTCCACTTTTCAAATTTTACTAAGATTGTGGTTTAAATACTTAAAAGTGTAAATTTGACGAGTATTTTAGTATCACAGGAAATACAATCACTTCACACAGAATAGAAAATAATTTAAACCAGTTAACGAATAATTTTAATGTGAATAAACAGTTCTGTGAATAAAGAATTCTAATACAACGACTACTTCTGAGAAATACGTTAAAGAGATTATTGTAAAATGCATGAAATTCTGGTATGATATTTTGTTAAATGTCAACTAACTGCTGAATCAAAAATGCAAATTTACAACTTTTTTTTTAAAATATTTCTAGAAAAATAGTAAAGAAACATGACCCTGTGTATCAAGCTTTATGGGCAGAAAATACTGATTTTGATGAAGTTTTGATTTCACCCGTAATGGTACAAGATCACATGCCGGATAAAGTGCTGGATGCTTTGGAAAAGGTATAATATTACATAATTTTTTCCTTTGATGTTTTAATTAATTTTCTTCTTGTATCTGATCTTATGACAAGCGTGTTTATAAATTAAACCTAAGAATAAGCATACAACCGGTATCAAAAGAAATCTCGATCTAGAAATTACGCATCTAGAAAATTTTTCATTAGCGTATCTAGAAAGTTACTTTATCGTGATATGAAACTTAATATCAGGCATGAGAAGACAAAGATTAAGAAGTGATTAAAATCTTATAGCACTCAATAACCCATTTATTGAGCAAATATAGATCCAAAATATTTGTATATGATGTGCAACCGTCTCTAGCCGGTTGCATTAGATTGTTCGTCCGGACATGGACTCTGAATGTGGGCATAAACGCTGACATTTGAAATACGGGATTTGCTTTTAGATAATCTGTAACTTTCTAAATAGCTTACCTCACTTTATAACATACGGTCACCGTCGGACCGTTAAAGTGCTGCAAAGGACCACTAAAAGTGATTTGGCATCACTGGCAATAGCTTCATAGAAGATGTGATGGACATATGACATGCTGACATGGGAAAAGCAGCAGCAACCAAACTTACTCCATACACGAATCCTGCAGTCATCCGAATCAAACAAAAAAATGGGATTCGTCGCTGAACAAGGTACAATACCAAACCGATAAAGTGTGTCAACCACGAGAAGAGACTTGAACTCACCTATTAGGAAGGACAATTCATATCCCTGAGGGGAAAGATGCGGAGAACCCATTCAGAGTTGCAAATGAGTGAATCTGAATTCCATTGTTGTAAAGCATGAGTCGTTATTCCAGGTTTACCTTAAATAAGACATTGTTCGACAGCAAACGATCTAGATGGGCTCAAGTCTCTTCTCCTAGCGGATGAACATTTCAAGCTTCAAGGCCGATACACCACAATAAGCTTTGCTGTCAATTCCCAGAGTTTAGGAATAAATATCACAACGGGCATCTATAATAAGGTCTACTGGAAGTGCCTTTATTGCAACGGCCCTCCGTTGCACTCCACTCTAAGAAATTAGACAAGCTGTCCTGAAGGATAAATAGAGAAGCTAGTGGTATATACTTATGGTAGCTTTCTCTTTTTCAGATCATCCGAAAAGTGTTCATCCAATACTTGCAGCTGCCCTCGTAACGGTTATTTGTAGGTGAGATTTTAGAACCAGTTTTAGCAGCATCATATTAACTGTATCATCTCTACAGATTATTGTCGGTCGACTTTTATCGGTACGAGTAGCCGCTTCTTTCACATTTTCTGGGCATTCTCAATCGCTAATATTAGTAACTCTCCCTGTTTTGCGCATTTTAAACACGCCCAGTGCACTAAGTGACTGCACAATTTCTTTTATTTGTGCGTCTAAGAGCCATTTTCGTGTTAAGTTCTCGGACGATTTTTCTACTTGCGCATATTTTCTAACGTAGCTCTATGTTTGTGTCCTATCTAATACAGGTATATGCATGAAATTTTTATTGACTAAAACTTTGAGAAAAAGAAATAATGAAATATTTTTGAATAATGAAGTATTTTTTTATGCCTTGACATTCCACTTTAGACTGGTTTTTACATCTATGTAGCAAAATTAAAAATTAATAAATAATTTTGCTTTGTTTTCATCTCATTACTATAGGATAAAATTCAGATGTCCATTATATTTGCATTTATTATTCCGCTTTTTAAATTCTTCATGTCTGGGTAATATATCGTTTCCTTCTTTGAAGAGTGATATTATTATGAAGAAAGAGTGATATTATTATGAACAACATATGTATTGTCTTTTTACTAAAACTCACTCTGTGACAACTAGATCCATGCATTTCAAGAATATTGTTCAATCTGAATGAAACTGCGTATGCAAATACCCTTAAAAACTAAAGCGCAGACCGTTAAGAATCACAGAAGATGAACGAATAGTAATCTAACATAGCATACAAAACCCACGCACCGAAGAGCGTATTTGAACAGCAAAACTCCAACGTAGAGAAATATGGCATAGGACTGAAATTGTAAGAGTCCCAGTGAACTTTTGTTTTTTCTCGATGTTGAATCCCTGTATAATATGAGTATATTAGTGAGACTGAAAGAGACCTTATCACTGTGTTGAATGATTTCGGTTTGCCCAATGGCTTTGTCAGCCGGCATTTGTAATGGACTAACACTGATCATAAAAAGCATAACACAGTGGTAAGTGTGGAATGCACGGTTGAGTGATACAACAAAAGTAAGAATACAATGTTTCTAAAAGCCTCGTAATCTCACCATTCACAGTTTTACTTCGACCATTGCGAAGTGGCTTTTTCTACAGGCGCAAAAAGAATCCAGATTATTACATGGCTAAAAGAATGCAAACAGCATTAAAGAAGATCATTCAGCGACCCACTTTTGACCATCCAGCATTATTGACACCGTTTGCAGTGGTGTTTCACCCCATCAACATGCATAGTACTTAAGGAAGTTTATGGAATTTAGTGATGAGTCGCGATTCACATTGTGCTGGTAAACAGACGTTACATATCTGCAAATGGCAGATCAGCGCATAATACTTACTGTCTTTTAATGTGAAAAACCAAAAAACGTCTCTTAGAGCATAAATGACAGTTTCGGAAGCAGTTTTCTCCCTAAGTGGATATCCTTAGTATTTCTCCGTACCGCCTTCACAGCAGCTCAGTAGTTCATAATGTCATTTTGCAATTTGTTTTATTCTCATTCTTATCAAGCATTATCAAAGATTTCCAGTAACTCAATTTTCAAATATATAAAGCACGTATGTCATCAGATATCCTCCGTGTTCTCCAGTCTAAAGTACATGTCTTCTTGGACTGTTTCCGTTATGTCGAAACCTTGTCACGGACACCGTAATCGCCCAACTTCTTTCTTTACGAGCAGATATCGACCCTGTCGTTGATATATGCCTAAGCCAATTTTGAATATTGACGAACTTCCCAGTTATTGCACCATATCTAGCATATTATACCTCAAGACAACTATCCGCAAATTCTATACGTCATAGCGATGCTGGCTAATCACTCTTAATAGCCAGAAGTGCACTACAACATCGCACATGAGAGAACGCTCAGCCCCCAGCCATTGGAGCAGTCCATACACAATTCTCGATATCCTCCTGAGGCAGGTCCAAATTGTCTGAAGCCCAAAGGATCGAGTTCTAATCTGAATTTTAAAATGTAGCGATCACTTAGTCGGTCCTACAGTCTCTATCGATACGGCATGGACCACCGTAGAAACAGTGGTTCTGATGTCGTGAAGACCCCCATACTGCCCACACCCAACGTATATACAATGCGAATAAACAGCTCGCGGGGAAGGCGCAATTAGCCAATTAACCACATTATAACATATGATAGCTTGCATTTTTTTCCTACTTTATCCAAATAATTGCCCTTGGATAGCAAACACTCTCTCTTATTCATGTACATTGCGCACACCACTTTTCACTGCAATTGGATGATTGCTTCAGAATGAGTCAAGGGTCCAACCCCCGATCAAAGACTGAATATTGAAGCATATTTAATTCTATTAGTTAGCTATTACACTGTTGATGCAAGATACGTTATTTGAAAAATAAATGCATCTATGCTTAGGCTTATATTCACAATTATATCCAATAAAGCTATATCAAGAGCTTCTACTGTAATTTTTTATATTTCAATACACTTCCCTTTTCCCACCTATAGTTTAGCTTAACTTAAAAGCAGTATATGAAATTAACTGCTTATACATATGAAATATATTCGCAAACAATTAATTTGGTACTTTTCCGTTTTGCCGGCGCAAACGATAAAGTCGCCAATAATGGTACAACTGATGCCAAACGCAATACCTTCGCTGGTGACCTTTTACGCTTCATTTTTAAAACAAGTCGCAGCCATTTCTTATCAGATTGATTGTTTCTTTCAATATTGACATACAATTACATAGAATATTTACCTACATAGATAGCTAAATTTTATACCCTAAGACCATTCGTGGTAATTAAGTCAATAAGGATGCAATCACACCGCTCACCTGAAGGTGAAAATATAGAAAAGGCAAAATCAAGGGTTAAATTCATCCATTCTAATAAGAATGTACTAGCGAAGTAAAACAATGCGGTTTTACATAATTTATGACTAAGCTGTTCGTACGAATTGAAATAATTCTTGCATTTAAACTTGTATTCCAAATTAAGATTTAACTTGAAATTAATGTAGATAATTACTAAGAGAATTAGTTTTTTTTTTTTTTTTTTTTTTTTTTTTTTTTTTTAGCGTAGTTTACGTGAGATGAGATCACTTGGTGGTCACGTGATACGAACCGGCGAATCAGGATGTTGAACCGTGAAAGCATAGTAAATTTTAAATTAATGTCTTTTTACAAATTTATTGTCTTTATTTACTGGCTGTATACAAAATTTTAAACCATATTAGAATGTTTATGCCTTCAAAATAAAAAAATCCTTAGATCTAACATTTGCTAATATTTTTTATGTGTATACTGTACGCTGTCGCCAACAAAGTCTGCTTGGCGAGATTTGCGCCGGCGAAACGGAACAGTACCATTAATTCTTTACTTAAAATATTTAAGTAATATCTTTCAATAATATGCATTAGCATTTCATTTGTAATGATAAAGCAATAATATGCATCAGCATTTGTGAAATGTATTATCATTTCACAAGTACACACAAACTGTTTTTCTTACTTCCAGCGGGATACAAAACTAACATTTTAAACATCATAAAACATATTTGCATATTTACTCCAAACATCGAAATACTGCCTTCATGAATTCGATTTCAAAAGCATTCGCAAGTTGTGCTTTACAAGTTCAGCCGAAATCAGAGCTTTAGAAACTTCTTGATGCATTAAATAAAGTACATATTTGGAGAATAGTATTATCATATATATCTTAAAATACTTCTTAATTTTTAATGATAGTCATCCACGAACAGTGATGGAAAATCCGATGTTGGATAAAGGTGACTAT